ACACACACACACACACACACACACACTGGGCACAGAGTCTCTCTGTCTCTTCAAATACATCAGCTGGGGTATTTAGAAAATGGGCTGTGGGTGTAGGGGCAATGTGACGGAGTAAAGCGGTCAGTAGGTACATTGTGTCCTTTGAGCACAAAGCTGTCTGTCTGACTGTTGACACTTCAGGTCACGGCTTCTTCTCTTTAATATTTAAACCTGTGAAATGCTCATATAGTATAATCTTAATCAGTTGTAGCCAGACATGGTCCTATTTATAGCAGCAAATCCACCTCTGCAGCATTACTTTCTTGCCACCCTCCTTCTGAATATCCTGCGCTCCCACCATTGTCATTAATCAATTCCCGCCCGTTTCCCAAGGCACCCAGACAATGTGGCAGTGGTAATGACCACAGAGACCCCCTGGCTCCGCTCCGCAGTGTCAGCCGCTCCACCTCCATGGGACGGAGGTGCAGCAACTGCCACAAAAATAAATGTAAGGTGGGAATGTATAGCTATTCATGTATGAATTTGTTTAGCTGTGAAGAGCACTGAAACAACCACACTGGTTTCACACACTGAGGTCATAACATCCTGTTGACTCAGGTCAGCAGTAGCCTGTGTCTGACCCAGAGAGCCCTGACCATTAGCAGTAGCACTCAACAGAAATGAAAGCCTCCAGCCTCTGCAGATTGGTGAGAAAAGAATGAGATGCTAATAAATGAGCAGCAATAATTGATTCCAGACTCTGCTGTTATATTTAAGTGCAGCACTGGTGTATGTACTTTATTAGTTAGTGTAACAAAAACTGCCTTCACTCCTGTTTTAGTAAGGCAGGAAAACTGAAAGTGAAACCATCAGGGATTATTTGATCCAGTCTGGTGTGAGCTCATGAACGCCATGTCTTCATCGTCTTTAAACAATCGCAAACACAATCATGCTTTTGTACAAAGAAACTGTGAAGTTTTAATTAAATTCAAAGCATACATACACACACACACACACACACACACAAGTGAATACCTGTTAATGTCACAGCAGGGAGAAAAACACGAGTGAGGGGTCGTTTGGCCACGGGCTTGCCAGACTTCTTCCTGCTAGTAGTTCATCACCAGCAACATGTGCCAGTATGGTTGTGTGTGTGTGTGTGTGTGTGTGTGTCTCCCAGTCAGTCCTCCATGACAGGACTGAACACAGGCAGCATCCATCTTTCTCTCAAACCCACACCTCCAGGCTTTCCCCTGTCTTCTTTTTCAATTATTCAGAGGCAAAGCAATTACGGCTTGGAAACGGAGCCATCGATGACCATCGTAATGAGCAGCAGCTGGGATGAAAATGACGAAACTGGTGTTGTGACACATCTCATTATCACCCAGCCCCATGATGTTATTGGCACAGTGCTGAGTGCAGGTACTGGTGAGAGAGACAAATAAGGAGGAGAAGGAAGAAACGGTGCAGGAATTTACCATAATGTCTCTTTATCAGTAATTAGAGGTAGTGTGTGGAAGAATCTTGTAAAATATAAAATATAAATACATTTCCTTTTTTTTTTCTTTTACTTGTGTTTGTAATACAGGGGAAATGAGGTCCACTAGGTGGCAGCAATGCAACTCAAGGGATGCAGAGCTGCTATAAAACCCACAGTATAAGAAGGAGCTGTGCACATCTGAGACTGAGAGGAAGTATTGGAAGTTTCATTTCTTTAACACTGATAAAAGATTTTAACTGACGGCTAATTATTGAATACAACTTTTACATTTATCTTGTATTAGTAATAATAAACAGCAACGCAGGACTTAAGCATGTTTAATGTAACTGACTTAAAATAGTAAAATAATGTAAATAACATGTACTTTACCTATTTTGACATACAGACTTTAAAATGTAAAACAACTTGTTTTAACCTAACTCAAGACCAATCAGAAAAAAGGGAAATTGTGCAGTGACAGGTGCTCCTTCTGGTTTATTGTCACTACAAGAATTAAGCTGTATAAAATGTGGGAGCATTTTGCAGGAGCATAAAAGCT